GCTTCAGACGCAATGCGCCGGGGGAGGGGGTCTGTTGCCCGCCCTCGTATCTTAAGGCTGCACCGCCGCTAATAGTGTTTTGCGGGTTGTCGCACCGCAGTGCGCCTCGCGGACGGACCCTGGTCCGCCTACTTGTCCGATCTCTCTCTCTCTCTCTCTCTCTCTCTCTCTCTCTCTCTCTCTCCTCTCTCTCCTCTCCCTCTCTCTCTCCTCTCTCTCCTCTCTCTCCTCTCTCTCCTCTCTCTCTCTCTCCTCTCTCTCCTCTCTCTCTCTCTCTCTCTCTCTCTCCTCCGATCTCTCTCTCCTCTCATCTCTCTCTCTCATCTCCTCTCTCATCTTTCTCTCTCTCCTCTCTCTCTCCTCTCTCTCTCTCTCTCTCTCTCTCTTTCTCCCCTCGTCTCTCTCTCTCTCTCTCTCTCTCTCTCTCTCTCTATCTTCTCTCCCTCTCATCTCCTCTCTCTCTCTCTCACTCAGCGTCTCTCTCTCTCTCTCTCTCCTCTCTCGTCTCTCCTCTCTCTCTCTCTCTCTCTCTCTCTCCTCTCTCTCTCTCTCTCCTCTCTCTCTCCTCTCTCTCTCTCTCTCTCTCTCCTCTCTCTCTCTCTCTCTCTCTCTCTCTCTCTCTCTCTCTCTCTCTCATCTCTCTCTCTCTCTCTCTCTCTCTCTCTCTCTCTCTCTCTCTCTCTCTCTCTCTCTCTCTCTCTCTCTCTCTCTCTCTCTCTCTTTCTTCCTCCCTGACCCTTCTCCGTCGAATCGCCGACACAAGTAACGCGCGTCTTCGCAGTCGCGCCGCAATGCGCTCGCACGACGACCGGGCACACCGCGCGCAATCGCGGCCCGCAACTCCGCAGCACAAGAAACACCAGGGCCCACCCAGGCGCGGCGCAAGCGCGGCCGGGCCGGGCGCCTTAAGATTCGCCCCCGGGCAGTTTGCTTTTTCAACTGCAGGCGCGCGCGAGTTTCGGCCTTCTGTCGCCACGGCGTTCGCGCTGCGCCCCCCACTTCCTCGCGGGCAGCGTTGCTCTGATCTCGGCATTCCAGGCCGCGATGGTCACCACGTCGTCCGCTCGCTACTCGATCCGCGGAATCCTCCCCATTGCGTCGCGAACCTCAGCGGCAGCACGAAAATTGTTCGCGCTCGCCGCTCGGGCAATGGACTGCGCCCGTTGGCCGTCGTCGCTGACTCCGCCCAGCGCCCGCCCCATCGCCCCCGCACTCACGGCCGACGCCCTCTTCGCAACAGCCTCGGCGGTCCGTCGATCCGCCAGAGCCCTTCGAACCGCCGCCTGCGCCCCGGCTTCGAGGAGGGCGTTGCGCGCCTCGGCCGCATCTAGCTCTTCAGCGACTCTGGTCATCGCCACCTGCTGGGCCCCCCACAACCGCAAGACGACGCGCTAGGCTTCGTCTGCGACGCCCTACGAAGCTCCACCGACGTTCGCACCGCCTGCTCTGAGCCGACGGCCCGTCGCCCTTCCTCGGCCCGCCCCATGGCACGAATCATTGCGATGCTGTCGTTCTCGGCCTGGACGCGAGCAGCTGCGCGCAGTTGACATTCGGTCATCAGCAGATGGTCTCTCATCTGCGCTCTTCGGCCATAGCCTCCCGCTTCTCTGTTCGGCCTGTTCCCATTCGAGGCTGCGCAGAGCCACGCAGCTATGCAAGGTAGGGGGGAACAATCTGGGCAGAGGAATGTCAAGCTGCACAGGTGACAACTGACCGAGCAATCATGACATACTGCCTTCGTACATTGTCCTCTATTTCCCGGGCAGCAGGGTCCAGGGAATGCCGCGCACCTGGGGCATATGTTGGCACATGACTCATGAATGAGACAGCTCGCTGCGTTAGAGCATGCCGCGCGAGCGGAGGACGACGACGCGCCCGACGGGGTCCTCAACGCCCCCCGTCGGTCGGGCCCGGCGCCCCCAGCCCGCGGCGAGCGAACGCGAGGAATGTGGAGCCTCGTCGCGCTGAGGTTCAGGTGTCCAGCACGCAGAGTCCTCTGCGGAGCACAGCCCCCAGGGCGCCCCACCGGGTTGAGAAACTGGCCCTCCTCCGGCACGCCCTCCGCCTTGGTCCGCCTCACGAATGGGTATCTGACTGACAGGCTGGCGGCCTCCCCAGGCTGCGTCGTCGCGGGAACTCTCGACTCGGAGGCTTCTTCGGCGATCTCCTGAGCGACCGCAGGCAGGCCCGCCCTCATTTCTACCACTTCGCCTTGCAGATCTTTCCACGAGGTCTTGGCGACACAGGTCGTCGAATGGCACCGACGCGGGCGACGGTTCCGGAGCCGATATTGGAGACGACCCGAAAACCACAACCCTCGGACTCGCCCCCCGGACGGGACCCAGCAGCCGTGTCTCGGCTCAGGCGGGGAATCGGCTTGACTGATCCCTTTTCCTCCGACGAGACGGTTACGCGCTCGTCCTGTTCATCCGATCGACTCAGAAGAAGTCCCGCAGGCGCGATGGACGCCCGCAGACACTTGATGTTTCCCCGGGTGGGTTGCCTGCTCCGCACCACTCCGCGTCCGCTTCCGCCCCGTCGGCGCCCGCCCCTGGAATGCCACGGCGGCCGGGGCCCTCGTGCACCCGCGCATCTCCCGACGACAGCGGAAGTGCTGAGATGATGTGAAAAGCGCGAGCCGGAGCCCCTGACACAGTCAGAGGACGCGGTCTCGAACACAATGTTTGGGATTATTTTGGAGACGTGGCCCTGCGCTTCATTGTTTGGACATCCACCTTCGAAACAGGAAACACACATTCGCAATCTCGTTGTGGAACTTTCGGCAGATGACAAGCATGTTGTCCATTCATCATGGAGTCGGGCATTAGCTTGATCCTGATGAGAGGCCCTCGGTCTGATTATTCTGGCAGGCCATGTTTGAGTAGCGGTCCCAAGTTGGGTCTCAGAGAGAATTTACTTGACGCCATGGCTAGGATGTTCGTTAAGTGGATGTGCCAAGGTGTGTGTGTGTGCTATCAACGGAGCGGCAGGCCCGGGCAGGGGAGTGGGCACGCGTGTGCGGAGTTTGTGTGTTTGTGCTTCCTTTCCGTACACCAAAAAATCTGCGCACAGTAGCTGCCTATGGTAACGCGGATGAGATGTTACGTGATACATGGCGCCGCCAAGCCTCAGTTGGAGGGTAATGGCGGCGCAGCAAAATCGAGCGAGGGGAGCGCTCGTAGTGACGCAAAAAGAATGATGAAGGAATTGGATCGACAGAAAAATAGAGGACGATGACAGAGATGAGCATGAGTGCAAATAGTATGAGGTAGAGAAGGGGTGCGAGCGGACCAAAGTGAGCTCCGCAGGGCGATGGGGAGGATAGAGAATTAGGAGTAGCAGCAAGAGTAAGAGTAGAAGCAGTGAGAACGACGAGTAAGGAAAACGCGAGCAGGGCGAATCACGGATGGGAAATCGATGGGTGCTGGGGGCCTGCCTGCGTGTATATAATATATATATATATATATATATATATATACACACATAAATATATAATACGTATACATGAAGAGGGAGGGAGGGAGGGGGGAATGGAAATCAGCGCTTGCACTGAAATAGTCCTCGCCGACATTGGAAGATAACGCAAAGAAACAGGCAAAACCTCAATTGAATTACCGAAGGTTTACTTGGGCATACCTGTACTCCACAATACGCGGGTCCGGTCCATGGCCACTCGAACGCGAACCTGACGCTCAATGCAGGCTGCGATTGGCCTGCAGACACGGCGGGCAAGCACGCTACCTGGCACAATTCCACGAACTCGATACCGGGCAAGCACGACACCTGGAAGGCACGCACGATAGCGAGGAACCGCTGATTTGGTCTCTCTGGTATACATGAACTAACTAAACAAACCGTCAGACAAATGCATAGCAGCAAGAAGAATTGCAAAGCTGCACATCCGCACACGCCGCCGCGCGATCCTCCTCCTCCTCCTCCTCCTCCTCCTCCTCCTCCTCCTCCTCCTCCTCCTCCTATCTCCTCCTCCTCCTCCTCCTCCTCCTCCTCCTCCTCCTTCCTCCTCCTCCTCCTCCTCTCCTCCTCCTTCCTCCTCCTCCGGCCTCCTCCTCCTCCTCCCTCCTCCTCCTCCTCCTCCTCCTCCTCCTCCTCCTCCTCCTCCTCTCCCCTCCTCCTCCTCCTCCGCCTCCTCCTCCTCCTCCTCCTCCTCCTCCTCTCCTCCTCCTCCCCTCCTCCTCCCTCCTCCTCCTCCTCTCCTCCTCCGCCTCCACCTCCTCCCTCCTCCTCCTCCTCCTCCGCTCCTCCTCCGCCTCCGCCTGCCTCAGCCTCCGCATCCGCCTCCGCCTCCGCCTCCGCCTCCGCCTCCGCCTCCGCCTCCCGCCTCCTCCTCCTCCTCACTCCTCCTCCTCCTCCATCCTCCTCCTCCCCTCCTCCTCCTCCACCTCCTCCGCCTCCTCCTCTCTCCTCCTCTCCTCCTCCTCCTCCTCTCCTCCTCCTCCTCCTCCTCCTCCTCCTCTCCTCCTCCTCCTCCCCTCCTCTCTCCTCCTCCTCCTCCCTCCGCCTCCTCCTCCTCCTCCTCCTCCCTCCTCCTCCTCCTCCTCCCCTCCTCCTCCTCCTCCTCCTCCTCCTCCGCCTCCTCCTCCTCCGTCTCCTCCTCCTCCTCCTCCTCCTCCTCCTCCTCCTCCTCCTCCTCCTCCTCCTCCTCCTCCTCCGCTCCTCCTCCTCCTCCTCCTCCTCCTCCTCCTCCTCCTCCTCCTCCTCCTCTCCTCCTCCTCCTCCTCCTCCTCCTCCTCCTCCTCCTCCTCCTCCTCCTCCTCCTCCCTCCTCCTCCTCCTCCTCCTCCTCCTCCTCCTCCTCCTCCTCCTCCTCCCTATTCCCTCCTGCCTTTTCCCGTTTCCCTTTTCCCTCCTCCTTTTCATCCTCTTCTTCTTCCTCCTCCTCCTTTTCCTCCTCCTCTTCCTCCTCCTCGGCACCCTCCTCTCCGCAATCCCTCTCCGCAATCCCTGCCCCCTCGTCTCGGCGGGGACGGGCGAAAAGCCGTCCTCCTGCGCGCCAGAAGACAGCTGCATCATCTGCCGGGTCGCGCCCGCATCGGCGGGCCGCAGTATCCTCGGGGCCCCACCGAGGCAGGCCAGTGCTCTCCCGAACTCCTCCAAGCGTCGCGATAGACCCAAATATCCGACGATGTGGTTTTCCAATCCGGGCGCGCTTCCTCCAGTTAGGCCCTTGAAGGCAAATTCCGGGCCCCGCGACCAACACAAACGTATGCAGGACGAAAAGCTACCCCCAGTGAAAGGGTTGGAAGCTGTGAGGAGGCCGAATGGGTGAACAAAACAATCAAAGGATGTCTGGGGAGTCAAGACGGAAGATCCAGCGGCGTCCAACGGGTGGGGCCGCCCGACGGGGTGGTTCGCAGATCGTGGCTGGAGGCAAAAGTGCGGACGAAGGGGAGGGCCAGGGGACGCACTGTAAGAAGAGGGGGTGGCATGAGACCCAGGGAGATTTCATGGCCCGAGCCATAATATCCTACCCCCCGCTGGTCATCACCTCCCCATCTCGGCGTCTCCGAAAGGTGTAATTCGCACAGGGTGCGGTTTGCAACCCGCACGCGACCCGAGGGCCCCGACAAAGGCCTCCGCCGCGACCCGAAGGCCTGACGAGGGTAAGGTAGCGAGCCCCAGGCCCCAACGACGCGGGCCGGAAACCATACGCCGGGCAGATTCATAAAGATTCGCGCCCCTGAGACCATACAGAATTTGTGATATACGCAAGAATTGCGTCACCAAGGCCACGACCCCCCACAAATACTCGATAGTCGTGTGCCCGACGCCACGGCAACTCGCAAATTACGCTGTGTCTGCGTTCACGAAAGAAGCCACAATCCCTTCAATGTTATACCAAACGTCCGCGAAGCCACGAGCGCTTGCAAATTACGCCGTGCCTGCGTCCTCGAAACCATAATCCATTGCAGATTACGCAAATGTCGCGTCCTCGAGGCCGTGCACATTCGCAAAACAATATTAGCGCCACCGAAAGCACGACCCGCTAATGTGGCAGCTTGGGCTTATAAGGCCAACGCGGGGACTTTATTAATTCGATCACGTAAGCCACCCCACGCAAGCGAACGGACGCACCACGGGCCACAGGTGATACGCACAACCCGCAGACGCGAGCGCGCGCGCCGCCACATGAAATTAATAGGAAATTGCGAACTTGATGTTGAAAGCCAGATCGAAATAAACAAAGCATGTGATGTATATTCTGGGCCTGAACATGAAATTATACCTTGCGAGTGTCGCAATGCGCGCGCGCAGGTGACCCGCGCGGGCAAGCAGGTCACCCGAAACCCGGTCGACCATCACTAAGGTTAGTCTCCATGCCAACACGGCTTGACTTGCCAACACGGCGCCGCGCGCGTACAAGCGCGTTTCGCACTGGCGCGCATCTCCCGTGGCCCGTGGCGCCCGCGCGCGCGTGCGAGTTGACGTCGAATGAATGGCGGACACGCGGATCCCGCGCGCTACGCCTAAAAGCCAACACCATGACGGCCTCAGGGTTTCGACAATACAGAACTCGACAGCGCGCACGCGCGCGGATCACCCAAGATCTGCTCGGTCACCGCCGAAGCACTCCTTTAACTTCCACGCCAACATAGCTCAACCAGCCATCATGGGAATCGGCACAGCACTTCGCGCTTACGCTGCGCGGCATGGTTGGCACGCGACGCGGTGCGCGAACAAAACTGCCATGTGATAACCGAGAAGTACTAGCACACATGAAACAAAACCAAGGGCTGTCAGAGAAAGATGCCCCCTCGGCGCTGGGGTACGGTTTTAAACCGACAAAATCAGCGTGGCATTACTGCAATGAGTTGCTAATTGATTGTACTGAGGTCCTAGCTGGCTGTAAGTAGTGGCTCGTAGGTTGCGATTACACATTGGACGTGAAAATCAAGGACATGGGATGCCGAGTAACACTACACGGGGCCAATCAATGCATTCGCACATGCCGCGCCGCAGGGACACTCCAGCCAGGCTGGCCGACGGCGAAGCGGCGCGTCAGTGACAAGCCCACACACACAATGAAACATGCGAGAATGATGCTGGCGATCGTTGCCCCGCCGATACCGTTGGCGACGCCGGTCAAGCCTTGGGGGACTGACGCGCCGCGCGAACCACAGCCTGAGCCATGATCACGGAAGAGGGCGTGGCTGTAGGCAGGCAGGCTGACGGCGCACGAGTCTCGACGCGGCGGGCAGGCGGCGGGCGCGCGCCGCGGTGAGGGGCCAACCCCTGCGCATCCCCCATGGTGTCCAGAAAAGGGCACGCCTGCTGCGCATGGGCGACTGGGGCGTATAGACACCGCCGTGAGGGACCACCCCCCGCGCATCCCCCATGGCGTCGAGAAAATGCAACGCCTGCTGCGCATGGACGACTAGGGCGGATAGACACCGCAGTGAGAGACCACCCACAGCGCACCCCCTATGGTGTCGAGAAAGTGCCACGCCTGCTGTGCATGGACGACTAGGGCCGGTAGAAACCGCGGTGAGAGACCACCCCCTGTGCACCCCCATGGCGTCAAGAAAATGCCACGACTGCTGTGCCAGGACGACTGCGGCGTATAGAGACCGCTGCGAGAGCCCGCCCCCTGCGCACCCCCTGCGGAGTCGAGGAAGTGCCACGCCTGCCACGCTTTGCGAGCCCGAAATTGATAAAGGAGACCACCCCCAGCACACCCCCTGCGGCGCCGAGGAAGTGCCACGCCTGCCACGCTTTGCGAGAAACGGATAGGGGGACCACCCCCAGCGAACTCCCTGCGGTGCCGAGGAAGTACCACGACTGCCACGCTTTGCGAGCCCGAAACGGATAAGGATACCACCCCCAGCGCACCCCCAGTGGCGTCGGGGAAATGCGAAGCCTGCCACGCGTTGCGGCTCCGAAACGGATAGGGAGACCATCCCCAGCACACCCCTTGCGGTGTCGAGGAAGTACCAGGCCTGCCACGATTTGCGAACTCGAAACGGATAAGGAGACCACCCCCAGCGCACCCCCGGTGGCGTCGGGGAAGCTCACGCCTGCCACGCTTTCTGCCACGCCCTATGTCTGCCACGCTTTGCGAACCCAAAACGGATAAGGGGACCACCTCCAGCGTGCCCCCTTAGGCGTCGATGAAGTGCCACGCCTGCCACACCTGCAACGCCCTGAAAATCTCGCGCGCATGTGTTGTGCGGTGCGCGTGTCACGTGCATGTTGCGCGCGCGGCTGTATCTGGACGCGCGTCTCATGTGGGTGCCCAGTATGTGGGGCATACGTCGTGGGTGTACGATGCAGTGACCACGCCAAGCGTGCACTTGCGTTGTTAGTGTTGTCTCATGCGGGCGCCCAGTACGCGTGCCGCGTGTAAATGAGCTGCACGCGCGCTGCGCGTATATGCGCGGCGCGCCCCCTGCGGCGTCGAGGAGGTGCCACGCCTGCCACACCTGCCACGCCCTGGGAATCTCGCGCACATGCGTTGCGCGGTGCGCGTGTCATGTGCATGATGCGCGCGCGGCTGTATCTGGACGCGCGTCTCCTGTGGGTGCCCAGTATGTGGGGCATACGTCGTGGGTGAGGAATGCAGTGAACACGCCAGGCGTGCACTAGCGTTGTTGGCGTTGTCTGACGCGGGCGCCCAGTGCGCGTGCCGCGCGTGAATGAGCTGCACGCGCGCTGCGCGTATATGCGCGGCGCGCCCCCTGCGGCGTCGAGGAAGTGCCACGCCTGCCACGCCTGCCACGCACCAGGAATCTCGCGCACATGTGTTGCGCGGTGTGCGTGTCATGTGCATGATGCGCGCGCGGCTGCATCTGGACGCGCGTCTCCTGTGGGTGCCCAGTATGTGGCGCAGGCGTCGTGGGTGTATGATGCAGTGCACGCCAGGCGTGCACTAGCGTTGTTAGTGCTGTCTCGCGTCGGTACCCAGTAAACGCGTCGCGCGCACATGAGCTGCACGCGCGCCGCGCGCACACGCGCGGCAACAACAGCGCAAGTAAGCAGGAGAGAGAAATGGAGAAGGAGGAGATGCGAGCGAGACGCGGCGCGCGCGTCTGCGCGCGCGTCTGCGCGCCTGCGCGCCTGCGGGGACGAGGCGACGATGGAGGATGCGAGGCGCGCGCGCGGGAGCGTCGCGGGTGGGGCGCGGGAAGGAAGAAGACCAGGACCCCGCCAAGCACGCTGTGAAAAACGAACCACGTCGATAGGAACCCCAAAAACTCACAGGACCAAGCCGAGACGGCCCAGGAGCCCCCCCGCGCGGACCCCACACGCCCCCGAACCCCGGCGCGCGCCGCGCGCGTCGACCCCCTGCCCCTCTCGCGAGCCACCCCGATAGCTACGCGCGGGGCTGGCCCAACCACCCCTCGCCACCCAGGCCCGAAAGAAGCGCCACCCCCCACCGACAGGCCCGGCCCAGCCGGCTTTCGGATCACGCCCCCCCGAGGGCCCGAGAAGACGCCAGCTCGGCCCGCGACTTCTCGGCCGACCCGAGGCCCCCCCGAAGGACTGGACGCGAGTCGGCACGCCCTGGCGTCAAGCGCCCCAAGAGCGCTCACGGACAGGCCCCGGAAGCCCGCCCGCAGACGCCCAACACGCCCACGACAAGCCGGCAAGTCGCCCCCAGCACCTTTGCCATCGACCCCTCGGCCGTCGTCGTTCGCGGCCTTCAAAGGGTCGGCGACAGGGGCGGCGGCCACTGGATGCGCGCCACCGAGGCCAGGGCGCCCCGCGCTCGGGCCCCCGAGGCCGCGACCAGTCGCCACGCGCACCACGCCCGCGCCCCCAGAGCCATAGACCCCCCTGCACACTTACTACCGACATTCGCGCCCCCGGGGCCGCCCAGAATCGCGCGTCACCCGACGCCTGCGACGCCGAGGCCACGCACCCTCGCGAATGGCCCACACTCGCGCCCACGAGCCCACGACGCACTCCGCAGGTCACGCTGCGTTCGCGCCCCCGAGGCCACGACCCCCGAATCAGACACGCGACCCCCGCGCCCCGCAACCACGATCGCCAGCACGTTCGCAATTCGAACCGCGAGAAGCCGAAATCCTTTCAGCATTGCCGCGCAAGCCGCGACGCACGAGATTCTGTCGCGCGCGCCGTTCCGACGCTCCGTCACGACGACGCCCTCGCAAACAACTCAGCCCTGCCATGCCCCACGCTACGAAAGAAAGAGTCGGCGGCAATGGGCCGAGCCCCGACGGACGGAGGACGCACTTCGCGCGGAGCCGCGCGCGCGCGAACCGCCGCCGCCGCGGCCTGACGATACCCGCTCGACCTTTCGAGGCCTCGCTCAGCGGCGCAACCGCCCCAAATTCCGCCCCGCCCGCCCCGCGCTCGCCCCCGCTGAGGGCGCGACGCCCCGCTTGGGCCAGCGGCGCCGATGCAACGCTCAGATTCGCGCGCACCCCCCACCCACCCCTCGAGCTTCTATAACTTTATTGCCTCGAACAGGATGGCGCGCCTGCGCGGGCGCAAAAACACCAGGCCTGGCGCGCCCGCGCTGGCGCCCGAGATGGCGGGGCGACGCCTGCGCCATATGTTTCGGCGCGCCGGAGGTGTCTGCGCTGCACCGCGGGCGGCACCTGCGTTGACATAGACGAATGTCAGCGGCGCCTGCGCTAGCGGCGCGATAACGAAGAAATACATGCACATTTTGATTTGATATGCCCTCGGCACCAAATCGACTGCCGCCGCGATGCCTGCGCTCGCAACTCGATGGCGAGGCGACGCCTGCACCGTCATATTGAACACGCTCGCGGCGCCGGCGCCGAATCACGCGCGGCACCCTCGACGATGAAGCGACAGCGCCCGCGGCGCGCGCGATGTCGCCGCCATGCTGGGGCGACGCCTGCACCCCATGCTTTGGCGCTCCCGCGGCGCCAGCGCCAAGTCGCCCGCCTCGAGCTCAAGGCACTGGCGGGGGCGAACGGAGCGGCGGTTGGACCGCGCGCCGTCGGCGCGAGGTCGCTGGTCTCGCACGGAGCAAGCAGCAGCCACCCGGGCGCGGAAAGCGTCGAAGGCCGCGCTCGAGAGTCGCCGCGCGACAGATCACCAGCGCGCCTACTTCATCCACCAAGTCGCCGAGCCCGGGAATGGGTGCTCCGCTTGCCGTCTTGGCTGACATTCTGTATCGGGATTGAGCTACCACAGCCACGGATGGCGTCGCCGCGGATGCGAAGACGACGGCGACTGCGATGGCGACGAAGCAGTCCTCGCGGCAGCGATCCCGATCATCTGCATCACACCCGTCACGAGGATTGGCTCCCAGCAGGACATGCCTGCTTCATCTGCATGCTATGATGAAATGGAAATACGCCGGCAATAAGGGCCTCCATTGAGACACCGAGATCCCAATCGGACGGCAAGGCCGACTCGAATCGGAATTGGAGACGATGTCCAGACCTCCGCGGAGCCGCGCTGTTGAAGGATCGCGTCGTCGGACGCCTGGGCTCGTGGGGCATCGTCGAGGCTCTGCGCCCCCGGAGGCCAACTTTTGGGCCCCAGGGGCCCACAGGAGAAGACGGCCCGCGGAGCGAAACGCTCGGCGGCGAGCCCAAGGGGGAAATGAGAAACAGCGGGCCTCCTCGGAAGGCTCGGAAGGCCTCCGGCCTTCTGAGAAATTCTCTTACCCGTCTCAGAAGACGCAGAAAATTCCCCAAGGCCATGTCATGGCCGTGATTTCGGTCTTTCTCCAAGTGGTGCACAAACTTCTGGAATGATGAAGTCGCCGCGCGTCTTGAGGCCGTCCGCGATCCCGTCTGTCAGCGTCCATGGCATTATTGCAATCTGTCGGGGAGACGCCGAAGTCAACAGCCATCTTCATGTGAAGGTTGTACTTGTCGATCACGGGCGGTGGCGCATATGGGGCAAGGCGCATCCGCGGCGGTGCATAGGGGCCAGGCGCGTGCGCTGCACTGGTGGCGCACAGCCTGACGGCGTGTCGCCGACCTCGCCCTGGTGCAGAACCTCGTCGAAGCCGTCCGGGGATGGCACCCCAGGAGGCCGAAGTGCAGCCTGGACGCTCTCATCGTCCTGGTTGCGGTTCACTGGAACGTCGCCGTTGTCGCCCGTGGCTCTGATGCGAGGCTCCCGGCGATTGGCAAGTCACGCGTGGAGTCGCGAGGTCTTGCTTTGCCCCGGAACAGCTAGACAGATACACAGAACATCGAAGGTACCTTGCGAAGACAATGATTCTGCACTTAGGGAAAGATACGAACAGACAGGAAGCATGGTCCGCATTGGCCCCAAATGTTTTACGCAATCCCCAAGCGCGGGCACAACCGAGAAGGACATGCATGCCCGATCACTCGTTCCTGGGACAGGTACGGTTTTCAACGCCACCTGATCCAAGTGAAAGAACTCGTGCGCGTGCCCACAGGAGAAATGATTGCCATTTTCATGGCGGCGCCGTTCTGGGTGAAAATGCGTGGACATAATAATAACAAACGCAAAACTCTTACACAACTAACACTGATACAAATCGTATACCCTTCGCCAACGGCGGAAGGGGGCTAGGCGAAATAGCAAGGTTTGTTGACAGAGGGCATTGTTGGTGTAGATGTCGCAGGTTGAACAAGCGCTTTGGGGAAGGAGCTACAGCAGAGGATGGTGCAGATTAAAGCGTTTATGGGAAGGTTGTAGTGAATGTGGGTGAAAGGTTCGGGTTGCGAGTCGACCTCCGGCTACTCGATCTTCTCGAGTTGCCAGCCCCCAGACCCGTTGGCCCACTCCGAGGGACCAGGGGACCGAAACGGCCACCAGCGGCAAAGACAAACAAGCCAAACAAACAACGATAAACACATAAAATTCAATCGAGATACCTCGAGTCACCAAGGCGGTCTGGGGTCTACAACGTGCCGCGCTCGCAGAGAAAGGCGGCCGAGGTCGGAGTCGCGAGGCGGGGGGGGCAGGGGGAGGCAGGGGGAGGCAAGCGGACGATGACGACCACGACGACCTCGCCCGCGGCCACGACCACGACGAAGACAACCACGATGACGACGACCGTGTTGACGACGACCACGTTGACGACCGCGTTGACAACCACCAGAACCACCCTGACGACGACCACCACGACGACCACGACGACGCCGAAGCAGGCGCCACCGACGCAGCCAGGCGGCTCCTCGGCGGGACCGCTGGCGCGGCCGCGCCAGGCGCCTCTGCGCGGCCCCCCCCCCTCCCCTGAAGGGCCGCGGCGGCGACGGCAGCGACGACGAGGCGGCGGCTACGGCGACGACGACGACGACGACGACGACGACGACGACGACGACGACGACGACGAGCCGAATCGAGTGCGCTTTCTGACGCACGACTTTTACAATCTGGGCGTTCCTCATCGATTTCGGCCTCTGGTGCCCGTGCTCAGGCCCTGGAACCATCAGAAACCAGGGAGGGTGTCGAGAAGTCCAGGGCCGTGGCGGCGACGGCGGCAGCGGCGACGAGGCGGCGCCTGCGGCGATGGCTGCGGCGTCTGCGGCGGCGGTGGTGGGGGCGGCGGCGAGGCGGCGGCGAGGCGGCGGCTGCGGCGGCGGCTGTGGGGGCGGCGGCGGCGGCGGCGAGGCGGCGGCGGCGGCGGCGGCGGTGGGGGTGGCGGCGTCCGGCGGCGCTGCGGCGGACTGCAGCGGCTGCGCGGAGAGCGAGGCGGCGCTGGGCGGCGGCGGCGGCGGACGACGACGACGACGACGACTAGAGGAATTCGTTCTCTCCTCCAGGGCTCGTCGTACTTTCCTCGCCATCCTCGCCCTCCTCGACAAGGGACCCATTCGGGCTCGGGCTCGATGTCCCTCCTACTCTCCACCTCCTCCTCCTCCTCCTATCCTGCTCCTCCTGCTCCTCCTCCTCCTGCTCCTTCTCCTCCTCTTCCTCCTCGTCCTCGCTCCTCCACCTCCTTCCGCCTCATCCTGATCCTCCTCCTCCTCCGCCTCCTCCTCCTCCTCTCCTCCTCCTCCTCCTCCTCATCCTCAATTATCCTCATCATCCTCATTTAACTCATTATCCTCATTATCCTCCTCCTCCTCCCCTCCCCTCCTCCTCCTCCTCACTACTCCTCCTCCTCCTCCTCCTCCTCCGCCACGCCTCCGCCTCCTCCTCCTCCTCCTCCGCCTCCTCCTCCTCCTCCTCCTCCTCCTCCCCGCCCTCCTCCTCCCCAGAAGTACTCCAACCCCATTGGAGAGGCCTGGATCTGCGGCGTCTGGCCAGACGCCGCGGGGCTCCCCGCGGGGTTGCTCGCGGGCGTCGCGCCGCGGCCCAAGGCGGCGGCGGCGTGCCCGCCGCGCAGCTGCAGGCCAGCGCCTGCCCGCCGCCTCTCCTCTTCGGTTCCCGTCTTCAAGCCTCGAGCCTCGATCCTGGAACCTCGATCTTTGATCCTCGAGCCTCGATCCTAGAGCCTCGATCCTTCATCCTGGAACATCGATCCTCGGTCTTCCATCTTCGCTATCTGAGCCTCGGTCCACGAGTATCGATCCTCGATCCCCAAATCCTCGATCTCCCATCTTCGATCCTCGATCCTCGATCTCAATCCTGGATCCTCTATCATCGAGCCTCGGTCCCGTCGGAGAGCCGCGGCCGCGGAGGATCCGCGGCTCCCGTCCAGAGAACTGGGGCAGGGGCCGCCCTGATCAAGCCGTGTGCTTCGTGATCGCTCTCTGCTTTCGCCGTGCTCGCTGTGCTTCCGCTGTCCCTCGCGCTGCCTTCGCTCCGCCTCTGCTGCAAGACGGGGTCAAAGCGGAGGCGGCTCATGGAATCGCCAGCACACGCTTCAGGTCTAGCCCTGGTTGAGGCAGCAGAGGTCCCAGGGCCGAGCACGGCGCGCGCGGACAGGGACACGGCAGGGGCGAACATGAAAGCGAAGAACTCGAAGCGTGATACGGTCGGGGACCGTATGCTTAGCGCGTCGCGGCGGCGGCCTCGGCGGCACGCTGTGCCCTGCGAGCGGATCGCGCGTCACTCCGCTCCGCGGGGCGGGAGGCTGGGAAAGGCTCGGGACGTTGAATCTCGGGGACTGGGGCGTGGATCGCGTGCCGCGCCGAAGCGGGGCCAGCCGGAGCCGGCGGCGGGAGGTTCCGGCCGCACTCACAGCTCGAGGGTCGCAGCAAGGCGAGCCAGGTGAGCACGACCCTGAATCGCGAGCGGGGACCTCTGGTGCCGGCGCGAGAGCTGGGCAAAAGGCCTGGAGCGACTGCGTAGCAACGGTCACGCCCTGGGGCCAGACGCGTCGAGGAGGACTTCTGGATTGTCGAGCCCCAGCGGCGGCCTCGCGGGTGGGAGCGCACGGCCGGGGCGCCGGGGCGGGGGAGGGTGGGGCACGGGGCGGGGCAGGGGAGGGGGAGGGGAGGGCGCCCGGGGGGAGGAGGCAAGGCAGGGGAGAGGGGGGGGGGGGGGCGACGCCTCCTGTGTGTTTCCTCCTCCGCTCCTCCTCCTCCTCCTCTCCTCCCCTCCCTCCTCCTCCTCCTCCTCCTCCTCCTCCTCCTCCTCGTCCTCCTCTCGTCCTCCTCGTCCTCCTCGTCCTCCTCCTCATCGTCAACCTCATCAACCTTCCAATTCTCCTCCTCCTCCTCCTCCTCCTCCTCCTCCTCCTCCTCGTCCTCCTCCTCCTCCTCCTCCTCCTCAACCTCGACGCTCACGGCTTCCTGGCGCTTCCACACATGCATCTCCCCCTGCCGAGGTTTCCTGAGCGGCCCGAAACATCCCTGGCGCTCTGAAAGGCCCTTCGAGTCCGAGGCCTCCAAGACGGTCCAAAGAAGGGGCCAAAACTGCGCAAAACCAGCCACCCTATTTCTTGGCTGGTCAAGACGCCGGACGCTTGGGCCTAGGCGTCGGCGCGGAGTTCGACGACAACCACGACAGCGACGACCATGACTGGCGACAACAATGCGCCGACGACGACACCCACGATGCCGACGACGACGACGGCGACACGACGACAACGACGACGACGACGACGACGACGACGACGACGACGACGACGACGACAGCGACCACGACGACGGCGAAGACAGGCAACGACTGGCGACGACGCCCCCGACCAGCGAAGACACGAGGGCGGCGATGGCGACCCGTGACCACGACGCCGACGACCCACGGCGACAACGACGACGACGTCGACGACCCACGACGACGACGACGACGACAACGACGACGACCCACCACGACGACCCACCACGACGACAACAGCGACGACAACGACGACGACGACGACGACGACGACGACGACGACCCAGCACGACGACGACGACGACGACGACGACGACGACGACGACGACGACGACGAGGACGACGATCACGACAGCGACGACGACGACGACGACGACGACAGCGACGACGACGACGACGACGACGACGACGACGACGACGACGACGACGACGACGACGACGACGACGACGACGGCCCCCGACGCCTGGCGACATCGAGACACTGCCCGCCGCCAGGGGCGACAAGGACACGCCGCCCACGGGCAGCGGCCCTCTGCTGGCCACGGCGGCCGCCGGCTGCGGGCAGGCGCCCGGTGGCGCCAGCACGGCCTGTGGGCGGCGGCGACTGGCGACCCACGACCAGCGGCGGCGACCAGCGACGACGGCGGCGAGCCAGCGAAGACCAGCGACGACACGAGAGCGCCGACGACGACAGCGACGGCGATGGCGGCGAGCCGGCGACGACCAGAGGCGGGGCGACCCCTCCGGCCCGCAACGGGGTCCGTCGAACGCGAATCGGGAAGGGCAGGGAGGAGAAGGAGGGGGGGGTACACGAAGAGGGAAGAGGTGAGAGCACGGAGACCCTGCGAGAGAGGAAATAGATCGGCGCGACGCGAACAGCATTTGTCAGGGACAGCGTCTCCTCCCCCTTCCTTCCCACTCCTCCTGCTCCTCCTCCTCCTCCTCCTCCTCCTCCTCCTCCTCCTCCTCCTCCTCCTCCTCCTGCTCCACCTCCTCCGCCTCCTCCTTCTCCCTCCTCCTCCCTCATCCTCCTCCTCCTCCTGCTCCTGCTTCCTCTTCCTTCCTCCTCGTCCTCGTCCTCGTCCTCCTCCTCTTCCTCCCCCTCCTCCTCCTCCTCATCCTCCTCCTCCTCAACTCTCCTCCTCCTTCCTCCTCCCTCCTCCTCATCTAATAATCCCCCTCCCCATCTTCCTCATACTGATCTCATCTTCCTCCGTCCTTTCCTCTTCCCTCTCCTCCTCCTCCTCCTCCTTCTCCTCCTTCTCCTCTCTCCTCCTCCTCCTCCTCCTCCTCCTCCCTCCGCCTACCACTCCTCCCCTCCTCCTCCTCCCCCTCCTCCTCCTCCCTCTCCTCCTCCTCCTCCTCATCATCATCATCCTCCCTCCTCCTCATCCTCCTCCTCCTCCTCCTCCTCCTCCTCCTCCTCCTCCTCCTCCTCCTCCTCCTCCTCCTCCCCCTCCTTGTCATTTTTCTTCGTATTGCCATTATCATTAGTATGAATATTAATATTATTATCAGTAGTAGTATCATTCATACTATTAGTATTAGAATTATGATTAGGATTGTTATTACTAGTATCAAAGATATTAATAGTGATCGTATTACGATTATGATAATTATTATAGATATTCCTAATGGTATGATTGGTATGATTGTTATTAGTAGTCATAGAATTATTGGTATTATGATCATGATCATGATTACTATCATCATCATTAATACTATTTTCAGTATAACTAATATTAGTAATGTTATTAGTAGTATGATTCCTAGTATTATGATTATTAGTATGGGTACTATTATTACTATGTATAGATTTGTATTACTAATATTAGTACTGTTACTACTAGTATGATTAGTATTAGTATTGTTAATACTATTCCTAGTAGTACTATTATGATTATCTTCACTATCAGTATTCGTCTCCTTGGTATGATTCTTGTTTTCATTACTACGAGTATTGCTTGATGTGAATAATAGTACTATTGTCCTTCAATTCCTCATCATTATTAATAGTATTAGTTTGCTTCCTCTTAGTATTCATCTTATGTGTCTCATGAGTCTTATCATTCTTATAATTAGTACTAACAATATGAGTATGCGTAGTAGTAGTAGTAGTAGTATTAGTCGCCGTCTTATTCTTGTTAGAAATATAAGTACAGTTCGTCTGGTTATGATTGTACTAATAAATGTTAGTATGATAATGTGTTGTCTTCTTCTTCCTCCTAGTATTATGATTATTAGTCTTATTATTGTTAATAATGTTACAGTCTTAGTAGTCTTATTGTTAGTGTTACTATTATTATTCTTCTGATGCGCATTAATATTATTCGTATTATTCTTAATAGTACTATTATTCGCACTCTTAGTAGTATGATTATTAGTAGTGTTAGTATGCTTATTCTTATTATTATTAGCATTACTAGTATGTTCATTATTCTCAGTGTGTATTATTATTCCTAATAGTATGCGTCTTCTTGCTAATAGCATTAATATAATTATGCTTAGTATTATTAATATGCTTAGTCGGATTATTCGTCTTTGTTAATATTATGATTATTATTCTTAATATTATTGTTCTTAGTATTAATACTCGTAATACTCTTATTATGAATATTACGATTCGTACTATTCTTATTATTCTCCTCCCCCTCCTCCTCTTCCTCCTCCTCCCCCTCCTCCTCCATTGATCCCTGTCCCTCCCCCAAACTACTCCCAGGCATCACAAGGCCCTCCTCCGCCTGTTCCTTCTCCTCCCTGTCGGCCTCCTCCTCCCCCTCACCTTCCGTCTCATAGTCCTCATCGTCATCAGCACCATCATCATGATTGCCATCATCATCATCATCATCATCATCATCATCATCATCATCATCATCATCATCATCATCATCATCATCATCATCATCATTAGAATCGTCATCATCATCAGCATCCTCATCGTCATCATCATCCTCGTCATCATCATCAGCATCACAATCATCATCAGTATGATCAACATAATCATCGTGATTATCATCATCATCACCGTCATCATCATCAGCATCATCATCAGCAGCATCATCATCAGCAGCAGCACCAACATAATCATGATCAGCATCATGATCATCATCAGTATCATCATCGTCATCATCAGCAGCATCATCATCATCCTCATCATCCTCATCATCATCAGCAGTGTCCTCATCTCCGTGCGGAGTTCGGTCCTCGGACCAGCGGGCAAGCGCGCCGCACCCTAAGCACTTTGGCCGGTGCTGTCGGCTCAAGGGGCCCGTCACACCCGTCTTGGGCGGACGGCCAGGGGAGAAAAGAGACAGAGGGGCGAGGGGGACCCTCCACAAACGAGCATCGGGTGAAGCTGTAACCTTCCATCACAGTAATCCGAGCTCTCCAGGCGGGGTTAAGCGAGGCCTGTCCCCGTTTTTGGAATGATGGTACCTCGCTGGGAGTGGTCCATCCAGCACCCCTTCAGGACCCGCAGCGGCGGCAGGCCACAGTGGCCGCTTGCCAGGCGGCACACGGGCCTCTATGAGAAGCTTGCTGGGCGCGCCCCTGGCGAGGGGCAGGTGGTCCGAGAAGGAGTGGACGCGTTCGAGTGCTCGAGCGAGCTGCGTGACTTCGATGGTTTCGGCAGGCTGAGCTCTTTGAGGGCAGGACGCTGCCTGAGGCAGGCCTTCCCCCCCAGGGCGGGGCGGCCCGATGCGGCCCCTGTGCTGCTGATGCTGACTGTCGTCAGGCCAGGGCTCATCTGCGGGGCACTGCGGTCAGGAGCAGGTCGAGCCGCCTCCGACGCCGCGGGTGGAGCACTGAGAGCGGGGTCCCTGTGGCCGCAGGTGGGGCCCCCCAGGGGTGCTGCGTGGCTCGTCGAGCGCGGCATGCTCCCGCCCGCTCGCTGCCGAGGCGGCGGGGCAGGGCGCCCGGGACCCCGGGTCCTCGTGCGGGGGCTGCGTCCGGGCCTCCTCGCGGGAGGGGGGCCTCTTCGCGGAGAGGGGGCCGTGCCCGAGGCAGGCCGCCCCCGCCCCCGTGGGGCGCACGACGGGGCCCCGCAGCGCTTGGGCCACCGGGTGCCGGGCGACGGTGATGATGAGCGGAGGTCCGTGGCCCCGCGAGGGCGGGCGGGGTCGTGGTCGCCCTCGGGCCCCAGGGAGGGGGCCGCCTGCGGAGGGAGGCGGCCGCGGCCGTGGCCGTGGGCGGCGCCGCGCGTGCGCCCGAGCTGTCGAGAGGAGCAGCTCGGGGCGCGCTGTGGCGGAGGCTGCGCCTCGGCAGCCCGCGGCGCGGACCTACAGAGGTGCTCGGATGGCCGCCACTATCTGGTCGGCGGTGCGCGGGAAGGGGGATCCGTGTGCCAGTGAGACGGAGGGAGAGAGAGAGAGACAAAAAGAGAGAGAGAGAGAGGAATGGGTGATAGAGAGAGGGGGTGGAAAGATACATCCCACAAAACTTAACAAACAACCATAAATGGGAAAACACCACAACCACAACATTACGCAGACACAAAAATGCAACCGGCAAACACGCAAACACCGAGCCTACACAACAAACGTACACCTCAAAAACAGCAATGCAAACCGTAGCAGTGGAAATCAAAGTCTAATTACCCTGTGACGTACCCAACCCATGTGTATCAATGGAAACGAGGAGTTGGCCGAAACTTGTATGGACAATCAACTTGATGTGTAAGCTATTTGGGAGGCGTAACTGTGCTGGGCCCCGCAAGCAGGCCTCGAAAGTGGCGACAGTTTCACAGATCGCAGCCCCCCAGGGATGGCGAGGTCTAATTTGAATCTGCGTGTGCGTCTATGTGCTGGGCCCCCCAGCAGGGCCTTCGAAAGTGGCGACAGGCTCACAGATCGCAGCCCCCCAGGGAGTGCGAGGTCCCATTTGAGTCGCCTGTGGGTACCCAACTTGTGCTGGGCCACCCCCAGCAGGCCTCGAAAGTGGCCCCCCCTGACAGTTCACAGATCGCAGCCCCCCAGGGATGGCGAGGTTTCCCATTTGAACCATGCACGTCCGCCTTTTCTTTTTCTTTGGTACCACTGTGATGGGCCCCCAGCGGCCTCGAAAGTGGCGACAGTTTCACAGATCGCAGCCCCCCAGGGATGGCGAGGTCTAATCTGAATCCCCGTAGGACGTCACTCCGCTGGGCCCCCAGCAGGCCTCGAAAGTGGCGACAGTTTCACAGATCGCAGCCCCCCAGGGATGGCGAGGTCTAATTTGAATCTGCGGTGGGTACCCACTGTGCTGGGCCCCGCAAGCAGGCCTCGAAAGTGGCGACAGTTTCACAGATCGCAGCCCCCGAGGGATGGCGAGGTCTAATTTGAATCTGCGGTGGGTACGCACTGTGCTGGGCCCCCCAGCAGGCCTCGAAAGTGGCGACAGTTTCACAGATCGCAGCCCCCCAGGGATGGCGAGGTCCCATTTGAATCCGCGGTGGGTACCCACTGTGCTGGGCCCCCCAGCAGGCCTTGAAAGTGGCGACAGTTTCACAGATCGCAGCCCCCCAGGGATGGCGAGGTCCCATTTGAATCCGCCGTGGGTACCCACTGTGCTGGGCCCCCCAGCAGCCTTCGAAAGTGGCGACAGCTTCAAAGATCGCAGCCCCCCAGGGATGGCGAGGTCTAATTTGAGTCCGCCGTGTGTACCCACTGTGTTGGGCCCCCCAGCAGGCCTCGAAAGTGGCGACAGTTTCACAGATCGCAGCCCCCCAGGGATGGCGAGGTCCCAGTTGAGTCCGCCGTGGGTACCCACTGTGCTGGCCCCCCCAGCAGGCCTCGAAAGTGGCGACATTTTCACAGATCGCAGCCCCCCAGGGATGGCGAGGTCCCATTTGAGTCCGCCGTGGGTACCCACTGTGCTGGGCCCCCCGGCAGGCCTCGAAAGTGGCGACAGTTTCACTGATCGCAGCCCCCCAGGGATGGCGAGGTCCCATTTGAGTCCGCCGTGGGTACCCACTGTGCTGGGCCCCCCAGCAGGCCGCGAAAGTGGCGACGGTTTCACTGATCGCAGCCCCCCAGGGATGGCGAGGTCCCATTTGAGTCCGCCGTGGGTACCCACTGTGCTGGGCCCCCCAACAGGCCGCGAAAGTGGCGACGGTTTCACTGATCGCAGCCCCCCAGGGATGGCGAGGTCACATTTGAGTCCGCCGTGGGTACGCACTGTGCTGGGCCCCCCAGCAGCCCTCGAAAGTGGCGACAGCTTCACAGATCGCAGCCCCCCAGGGATGGCGAGGTCCCATTTGAGTCCGCCGTGGGTACCCACTGTGCTGGGCCCCCCAGCCGGCCGCGAAAGTGGCGACAGTTTCACAGATCGCAGCCCCCCAGGGATGGCGAGGTCGAATTTGAATCTGCGGTGGGTACCCACTGTGCTGGGCCCCTCAGCAGCCCTCGAAAGTGGCGACAGTTTCACAGATCGCAGCCCCCAGGGATGGCGAGGTCTAATTTGAGTCCGCGGTGTGTACCCACTGTGCTGGGCCCCCCAGCAGGCCTCGAAAGTGGCGACAGTTTCACAGATCGCAGCCCCCCAGGGATGGCGAGGTCCCATTTGAGTCCGCCGTGTGTACCCACTGTGCTGGGCCCCCCAGCAGGCCTCGAAAGTGGCGACAGTTTCACTGATCGCAGCCCCCCAGGGATGGCGAGGTCCCATTTGAGTCCGCCGTGGGTACCCACTGTGCTGGGTCCCCCAGCAGGCCGCGAAAGTGGCGACAGTTTCACAGATCGCAGCCCCACAGGGATGGCGAGGTCTATTTGGTCCGCCGTGGGTCCCACTGTGCTGGGCCCCCCAGCAGCCCTCGAAAGTGGCGACAGTTTCGCAGATCGCAGCCCCCCAGGGATGGCGAGGTCAAATTTGAGTCCGCCGTGGTACCCACTGTGCTGGGCCCCCCAGCAGGCCGCGAAAGTGGCGACAGTTTCACAGATCGCAGCCCCCCAGGGATGGCGAGGTCTATTTGAGTCCGCCGTGGGTACCCACTGTGCTGGGCCCCCCCAGCAGGCCTCGAAAGTGGCGACAGTTTCACAGATCGCAGCCCCCCAGGGATGGCGAGGTCTAATTTGAGTCCGCCGTGGGTACCCACTGTGCTGGGCCCCCAGCAGGCCTCGAAAGTGGCGACAGTTTCACAGATCGCAGCCCCCCAGGGATGGCGAGGTCCCATTTGAGTCCGCCGTGGGTACCCACTGTGCTGGGCCCCCCAGCAGGCCGCGAAAGTGGCGACAGTTTCACAGATCGCAGCCCCACAGGGATGGCGAGGTCCCATTTGAGTCCGCCGTGGGTACCCACTGTGCTGGGCCCCCCAGCAGGCCTCGAAAGTGGCGACAGTTTCACAGATCGCAGCCCCCCAGCTGGCACGCAGCGACGAGCGAGGCGAAAGGCAGGGGGGAAGAGAGGGACTGGAGGGGGTGGGAAGGAGACGCGCGAGCAGTGCTCTCTTCAAAACGAGAACCCAACGCAGGAGGGTTGGGAAAAAGCATTCAACTGAAGAAAAAAAAAAAACATTGAATGAATACGGGAGAGAGAGAGGATAAACCAAACAACTATAGAGATAGCGAAAGGGGAAGCAATATAAAGAGAGAGAGCTAAAAGAAAGTAAGAGAGAGAGAGAGAGAGAAAGAGTGAGGGAAGGAGGGGCTAGAGACAGAGAGAGAGTGACACAGAGATGGAAAGAGAGAGAGGGAGAGAGAAAGAGAGAAAGCGAGAGAGAGAGAAAACAAAAAAAGAAGACGTAGAGAAAAACAGAGTAAGGCAGGGGACATAGGATCACAGAGGGAGAGGAAGACACAGAGATGCAGAGAGGGAGACACAGGGGGGAAAGAGAAAGAGAAGAAGGGAGAGAGGGAGAGAGAGAGGGAGAAGGGAGAGAGAGAGAGAAGGAGAGAGAGAGAGAGAGAATGGAAAAAAAAAGACCGAGCGGGGCCTGGACAGGCTGAGCTCCGCCCGCGGCGCCAGCCACAGGCCTGCCACTGCGCGGCGCTGCACTGACTTCCGCGCTCCCCCATCTCTCCTTCTCGATGTGCCCTCCATCTCTCCTCTCTCTATCTCTCCGCGCCTCCATCTCTCCATCTCTTTAGTTGTCTCTCTCTCTCTCTTCCTCACCCTCACCCCCCTCCTCCTCCAAGCCCTCCTCGCTCTTTTCTGACAGCGGCAACCTTCGAGACACAGCCGAATCGATGATACAGCCGCCCTTCTTAGTGTTTGTCCTCATTTTCCTCCTCTTATTCCTCCTCCTCCTCCTCCTCCTCCTCATCCTCCATGTCCTCAAACCTTTTATTCCTCCTATTCCTCGGATTCATCCTCCTCCTCCTCCTCCTCCTCCTCCTCCTCTGGGCCTGCAAATCCTGGCGCGGATGCTGATGGTGCGGAACCGTGTTGTTTTGTTGTTGCGGTCGGCGCCCAGCCTGCACATCCTGTCTAGAACGTGTTGTCCACGACAGATACGGGGTTTACGCTGCCCGTAGTCCCCAGAATCCCACCAGCCCTCTGGGCTGAGTGGTTGAACAAGTTGCTCTCAGCTCCCTGCCAAAACCCATCCTTCCCCTGCTCGAGGGAGGGGTGTACCCCTCCTCCAACCCCCTCCCCTGGCCCTGGGAGGGGGAGGGGGCGCCAGGGCGCCCAAGGTGGCCCAGGATGGTTCCACGAGGGCCCTCGGCAGGCCAAGACGGCCTCCAAGATGGCTCAAGGCACCTCGCCATCGCTCAAGACAGCCTACGACATGCCTCCAGACGGCCCAAGGCAGCCCCAAGACGGTTCCTACTGCCCTTCGAGCCTCCCAAGGCACCCCCCAAGGGACCAAAAACCGTCAAAAAACTCAAGAAATTCAGGGAGTTCGGGTTCCTCGCTTTTTCGTGCCCTATGAGTTTCTTGGGGTTCCCAATGGCCCCAAGATGGCCCTAGAGAGGCCCAAAAGGGGCACAAGACGGCCCCAACACGGCCCCAGACGCGCCCAAGAGGCGCCCAAGAGCGGCCCAGGAGGTCCCAAAGAAGCTATGTTGGAGCCTCCGAGGAGGGGAGGGGAATTGGCACCCCCCCAAGATGGCCCCAAGAGCGCCCAAACGGGCGCCCAGCGTCAACAGGAAGGCCCCCCAACCATTTCCAACTCCTCCTCCTTCTCCTCCTCCCCTCCCCCTCCTCCTCCTCCTCCTCCTCCTCCTCCTCCTCCTTCTCCTCCTCCTCCTCCTCCTCTCCTCCTCCTCCTCCTCCTCCTCCTCCTCCTCCTCCTCCTCCTCCTCCTCACCCTCCTCCTCCTCCTCCTCCTCCTCCTCCTCCTCCTCCTCCTCCTCCTCCTCCTCCTCTCCTCCTCCTACTACTCCTCTCCTCCTCCTCTCCTCCTCCTCCTCCTCCTCCTCCTCCTCCTCCTCCTCCTCCTCCTCCTCCTCCTCCTCCTCCTCCTCCTCCTTCTCCTCCTCCCCATGCCGTCGACATTCGATAGTGGGTAGTGGGCAAACGGGAGAAAAGCCCAGGGGACGCACGGGGCGCCCCTGAGAGTTCCCTGAACTCGAGGAGCACCCCTGTGTAGCCCCATATCCAGTGAATGGCTGGGCGACAGTGGCCTCGGACCTTACGCCCTCACACTCAGGGCAATTACGGCCTTCCCCAGGGAGGCAGGGCCGTATGGGCCCGGATGCCCATCCGTGTCGATGGACAGGTACGGGCACCCGCATCTGGTGCCTGAAGCAAGGGCGGCAGCGCCGGCGATCGTGTATCCGCTGATTTTGCGGTTTTGCCGTCATCGCGAAGGAGTCGCCTCAAGGACACAGGACGGCAGCAAGGCCGGCAATCCCGCACACTCATTTATCCCTGGTTTTCGCACCTCGTTTCCTGTGGGCGCTGCTTGGCGGCATCGCCAGTATGAGTGTTTCTGCTAAGTCTGCACACCTGCCCCCGTCACGAAGCTGATGCCTCAAGGACGCTGCCTGGCGGCAAGGTTCGAAACCCATCAAAAAAACCTTCCTGGCACCGCCCGTGTGCGGACCAGCACGACAACCCAAAGGTGGTCAGAGCCCCGGTCTGCTCGGATACTTGTTTGTCGTGGCGCTGGAGGTCGCTCAGCGCGGGAGGGCGTAGGTCGGGTTGCGAAACATCAAATTGGCTGTACGAAGGCGGGAGAAGAAGAGGGCGGCCGCGGGGAGGGGACTGCGGGCAGGCGAGGGCAGCGCGGGAGACGCCCAGGGAGCGCCTGAAAAGCGCCCAGGGATCGCCTGAAAAGCGCTGGGGGGGCCCCTAAGGCCCTAAGGTCTCGCCGTGGGTCGCTTTCCCGACGGCGACGAGGCCAATCGACGGCCCCCAAAGGCCGAAACTTGCCACAAAGCGTTCGCCATTACACGTTTTCACGAAGCGATACGTTTTGGATGGATACGTTGGGCCATCAACACACACACACACACACACACACACACACACGCACGCACGCACGCACGCACGCACGCACGCACGCACGCACGCACGTACGTACGCACGCACGCACGCATGCACACACACACACACCTTTTCTCGTCGCAGCGCGTCATGAGGCGATCCGCACGCGCGCTCTAGTGGGCCTGGCGAAACCACACCCACACACACAACACATTTCTTCGTCAGCGGCTGGGCAGAGGGCGACTGTTCCGGCGGATTGGCAACAGGGGACGCGCTGTATGCAAATTAAGCACACACACACACACACACACACACTTGGCGAAATGGGAACCGTAAATGCGCGGTCGCGACCAGGCCATCAAAAATCGCTCAAGACACCTATTGGCACACACACACACACACAAACGCTCTTTGGCGTCGCGGCCCCGCGCGAGGCGACGGGGCGGAAAGTAGATCGCAAGCAATCGAACGCGCGCGTCTACGCACACACACACGCACACACACACACACAGTCTGGCGTCGCGACCGCGCAAGCAGCGTCGTGGCGCAAGGCAGGAAAAGCAAGAAACGCGCGAAGGCCAGCCTTGATCACGCGGCCTGAAAATACGATCGCGTTGAAAAATTTGGCGTTATCCGAAATCCTCTGCAAAATGGAGGTTTCGGACACCACGGGGCAGCCACTCCGTATGGCCCTCCGCAGCAGTACCTGCGCCAGAGACACGCCATGCGCAGCGGGAACTGCGTGCACCTCCGGTTTAAAATCAGCGGCGCAGAGCAGCCTCAGGCGCGGCTTGCACATGACCATGCGAATTGCAAACGAACATTTTGACGTGACGCAAAGTGAAGGATGCGCCCACCACCACTGCAATGCGGAAGGACCGATGAAAATAATAACTGACACACTGCAAAGGCCGACGCGCAACGGCCACCAAAGCGAGGAACAGAAAGCTCGACCCGGAAAAGTTGAAGCGCCAGCTCTCTGGTGCCAACTGACGTCACTGAATCACCGTAACGACGCAGGCAGCGCAGACAAACACCGAATTAGGAAAGATGGCACACCAGCAAATCGGCGAGGTAGCGTCGATGGAGCTGTAGCCTGGCGAACCTGATGGGCAGGTACGGGCACCACCACAACGCGACCCGAAAATAAATAATCGTCACCGAAAGCGGACGCTGCGACAACATGAATTGGCAGCGTAAAAACACGCACATACGAGGCCGAAACCCGCCTCATTCGCCATGCCGTAAAATCCTCAATGGGTAGCCAAGCCACCAAGAAAAGACCGCTGTCAATGACACGTCCAGGCTGGCCGAAAACAGGCTGCAACGAGGCGCCAACCAAAATAAACTGACAGGGCGCCGCTCGAACAGCTCGGCGCTGGCGCGACATGCACTGCACGCACTGACCAAGGACGCCCCGTCGACGAAATAGAAAAGAGGAGGAAGAGGAGGAGGAGGAGGAGGAGGAGGAGGAGGAGGAGGGGAGGAGCAGAGGCACTAAAGAAGCATACCACGCCGGCAGCGACCGCCAAGCGCGCACGCAAAAGCGGCTCAAACCCCCGCCGCGGGGACGACCCGGAAGGAAGGGGCGAGGGAGGACACAGAGCTGGAAGGGGCAGAGACAGGAGCGGGGCCTGAAGAGACGACGGCAAGGGGCCCCACGACACGGCCGAGCCCACGACTGACCGAGGGACTGACGAACCACCGCAGGGGAGAACGCCGCCAGATGGCGGCGGGAACGCCGCGCCACCTCCGACAGAAAACAAAACGCCACAGGGCCTAGGGCCGGAGGACGGGTGCAGAGCAGGGAAGGAGAGGACGACGACGGCCCCGCGGGTCATTCCCGCGCGGGGCAAGGCGACGACGGTGGCGATGACAGATGGCGTTGGCGATGATGTGTACGTCGCGCGCCTCTCGCGTGGACGCGCGCACGATTGCGCGCGCCCCTGTAAAAATGCGCTGCGCGATAAGGCGCAATCCCAGCTCCCCATCGCTCTGGGGACTGGACGACAAGACACCCGTTCACACATTTAAGCCGAGAGCGCCGGCAATCCGCCGCTCGAGAGGCTTCAACCGGGCCCGCGCCGCCAGGGACTGCCACTCCCGGCCGCCGAGCTCCCTGACGTCGACGGCGCCAGTTGCGCCAGGTACGCCAAGTGCGCCGCGCAGGCCCTCCGAGGTTTCAGGGGGGAGGGTTTCGCGCGGGCGAGCGTCGTGGCCTTCTGGGTTTTTCCCATAGGCTAATCAGAGGCTGAAAAATACATATCGCCTACGGAACAGCCTCTAGATAGCTTCTAATTAGCCTCTAATTAGCCTACGGGAGATAACGCTACGTGGGCAGGGATATCCCACACCAGCTCAGATAGCCAGAGAAGGGCACAGGGCTCCAGAGCGGCATTTGGGCCCTCTGGGAAACTCGAGGGGCCCTGCTGGCACGGCGGGCCAAAACCCCAGGCCCCCGCGGACCAACCCCAGCCCCCAGCGGGGCATCCCTGCCATGTGCATGCCCCAGATGACCCCCCGCGCGAACGCGTCCAGGTGAACCTGGGACGGCGGCGCCCTCTTGGCCTTCATGGCCAGCTTGTGAACGCGCTTCGGGTTG